ACAGGAGCAGACTAGGGATGGATCAGAGAGAGGAGCTCAAAGCAGACCTGGAGCATTGTCGGAAAGGCTGTGACAGAGCTACCATTCCAGATCACCGGGGGACAGCAACACTCACTAAGGGGCTGGGTATCCACTTAAATGAAATAACTTTATGTCTAAAAATAAAATCTTCTTTTAAGGAATCTTAAAATTAAATTTTTATAATAAGCAATTGTGAAAAAATGAAGCATAAATTTTAAACAATGTAGTTGCCAGCTGTTCACTTATTGAAGTTCATTCTAAACTAAAGACTGTGATAGGCTAACACCTCCAACTATAATGCTGCTGTGACGATGATAAAGACAGAAGGCGTATGCACCCTTGCAATGTATTCTAATGTGTATACATTACACGTAATATGTACGTACATTATAACTGTGTAGCAATCATTACCGATACCTAGATAACAGCTCAGTACTCTGGAGAGGTGAACTGACCGTGTTCCTTTCCACATTCCTGGCCAGAGATGACATAATCGGTGCTCAGAGTTTAATGCAGCTGGGAGCTTAAAAGCTTTCCATGACAGCCTGTGCTTATGTCACTTTTCATTTGCCTTGATTCTGAGGATAAAGCATTATCGTCAGAGAATTGATTCCCCAGATAAAGGAAACGTGCCAAGTGACCACGCTGTGTGCCTGTCTTTTCAAGTAAGCAAGGCTTTTCCCACCGCATGCATTTCCTTTCCTCTCACGTCCTGTCTAGGCACCGCCCCCATTCCCTGTGACCCCTCTCTCTCCTGCACTTTGAACGTGAGTCCTCCCCAGACACGACTCCACTAATTGCCAAAGTCTACCCTAAAATAATGGTAGAATATGTAATTTCAATGCACTTTGTCATATTCCGTCTGTCATGTGAGAAAACTTCCAGTGAGGTTTGTAGACAGAGTGGGATACTCCAGCTCCACGTTTTCCCCTGCTGAGGTTAGGATAGAAGTGAAACTCGAGCTCCTCAGTCACAGTGTGCTTTGCAGAAGTCTTTCTCTCAGCTGTGTTATACTGCAGGGAAGTGTAGTGCAAGAAAAGCTGCGATCACTGCTCTATTATGTAGGAAACAGCCAAATGACTGTGGTGAAGCAGAGCTAAATGGAGTGTGTACCGCAGTATTTACCGCACAACTTGTAAATCTGCCCATTACTGCACTGTAGACATGAGATTTAACACTTCTCGGTATCTTTCAAAAGGCAAACAGAAGAAAGTGCATTGCAGAAGAATTTTCAAAATATAAGACTGTAAATGGAGTAAATTTAAAAGGGAACAGAAATGTGTCTTTTGCTTTGGGTCCCCTGTAGCCAGGTGAATTCAGGCAAGAGAATGTGGCCTTTATTTAATATATCTTAATAGCTACACTAAAGAAAACATATGTACATTCCAATTAGCTGAATGTATTCATTTTTATTTATTTATTCATTTATGTTCTGGGGATTGAACCCAGGATCTTGCACTGAGTTATATCCCCCATCCCATTTTATTTTGTATTTCTGAGATGACAGGATCTCACTAAGTTGCTAAGTTGCCCAGCTGGGCTAGAACCTGTGATTGTCCTGCCTCAGCCTCTCAGACTGCTGGGACTATAGGTGTGCATTATCATGCCCAATTGAGTCAATTATTACTATTATTATTATTATTTTTGGAAGTGAGGATTGAACGTGGGTCCTTGTGCTTGCGCAGCAGGCGGCGAAACCACTGAGCTAAATCCCCAGCCCTGAGTCAATTATTTTTTAAAATGCGATGAGAAATAACATTTCATATTTGTATACATGTCCTACACACTAACATATATCTATAATTATGTCTGTTTGCATCTGTTTCTATACCTACATTCATCTTTCAGTTTGGAAACTGATTTCTAGCAATTACTAAGTTTCCTGGTATTTTTTACATTTTAAAAAATCTTTGCCAAAATTTCTACCATGGAACAACAAACAATTTTCATAAAATAAGTCTGAGTCAGAAAAGAGCTATTTATGTCTACTGCTCTGATAAAGCTGTATAGAAACCATAAACAGAAATTCTTAGTGTTTCAGTGTTGATTCTGTCTTAGTGATAGGGAAATTAAAGCTCAGAGTTGCTATGTGATAGCCTCAAAGCACAGAGCTGTTAGGTTATTACAACCCTTGTCTTTCTGCAAAATTCATACTTTCCTCTTGCGAGTCAGTTCTTTGGATATATATTGTACCCTCCACAGTTTCAGCCTGTACTCTCCTGTACCTCCTATTATTCTACTCAGTTTATCAATTTAATATTGTCTTGATTTTCATTATGTACACTACTTTCTAAAACTGGTCACCTCAATCTCAGTGACATATATGTGAAATGTTCTTAATTACCAGTTAGTAACATGCAGTTAGCAGACCTAAGGGTGTTTATAAATCAGAAGTAAAGTTTGTTAGCCCCCCTCCAGAGTTGTATTTGTATGTCTAGATGGAGTGGAACATGAACATGAATTCGGGGTGCTGGACACCTCAGGGTTGCTCTTGAGATCTTGGCTTCCACCCCCATCCTAGGAAAGGCTACACAGTGCCAACACGCAAGTATTTCCATATGCAGATCATTTCCCATCTAGGAAAATCACCCCCCAGCCTTTCACTTCTGTTTCTTCCTGAGAGGGCCATTCAGAAAGTTACATGAATACGGGCGGTACGGTCTTCATGGGTATAGTTCATTAAAATATCATGTGAGGTTCTCTAGTACTCTCAAAAATTATTTAAAATGCATTATTTTGACTTTTATGAGTTGAAAACAATAATGTCAATTAAAATAAAAACATGATTTTTAGAAAATATTTTTTAATCAAACACATTTTATATGTTAAGTATATAAATAAAATTTTATTAAACCTCTCTTTAAAATTTTACTAGAATTTACATGCAGGAAAGTTGTATGCCTCACTGATAAACTGTGGTTAGATATTTTGAATGTCACTTGAAAATATATAGAACAATATATGACAAACATTAAAAATCTGAATAAAATTGAAATTAAAATATTTCACAAACATTATAAAGAACAAAACTGAAGCTCTCATTTATTTCCTAAAATTAATCTTTAAAAGAAGAAAAAAATTGCAAGATTGTAGAAATATGAGGTGTCATTAACAAATACAGTGAATGCTTAAATCTTTTAAAAATTATTGCAGCAAAAGTACACTGGGATTAATCTCTCTCAAAACACTCTCCCTTACTTCAAATCCACTTATTACTTTTGTCACTTCCTAGAGCAGTTCCAGAAGTCCTCTTTCCTGGGTGTCTTTTTCAGTTCTGCCTCAGCGTTCTCAGCTTATTCATAATTTTTCATTTCATGGGGCAGAACCAGAAGGTTCACAGTATCAAGTCCACAGGACAGGCGGCTGAGGACTTGCTGTAAGGTATTTATGGCCCTGCTTTGCTGTTGGATGGCACCCGGAGGCAGGCAGCATAGTTCTCATCGCACCACACGCAGGAAAGAGATATCCAGAACTGCCTCAGGACGTGGCCAGAATGACGTGGAAAGTGTGTTCCAAGAAAAGGGGAAGAATTTGGGGGAGATCAATGGCAGTGGCTGTTTTAGTGCAGTAAGTTTTGAAAACTGAAACACTGCATATTTTGATCACACTTCATTCAAAAGAGGAAGAAAAAATTATCTCGGACCTTATTTAGGTCATTAAATCAGATTTCTTTTTTGTTGTTTTTTTTTTTACCCTAAAATGCCTTTTACATATTTACCTATACTGATCCTTCTTCTAACCAGACAAAATATAGGTAAAGCCATATTGATAGTTGGGACTTGGGTAAAGATCTTCTGCTTCGTTAGATCATTCATATCTCTATGCACTTGTTGGTTTAAGAAGGAATCTTACTTTCGGGGCAACAACGGTTTAATCACATTCAAAATCCGAGTGCAGAGAAATGGGCCTGGCAAACTAGGTGGTCCTAAAATGTCAGACTCTTTTAAAACACATTAATCCAGGCATAACTGGATTAAACTGAAGAGCAACTGATCAAACTGAAGAGCAGAGGGCAGGGAAAGACGCAACCCCCGAGCCAGTCCCTGACTGAGAGCCAGGGGCCCAGTGAAGGGCGGGGAAGAGCAAGTGCTGTGCTTGCCTTGGGGGATGCACTGCTGACCCCGCCGCAGAATGGAGGTGCAGCCCCGGAGCTATAACCCAGAGCGACCCGCGTTGGCCCGCCCAGGCCCCACATCAAGTTCCGGCGCATTAGGCATAGCAGGAGAGTGTAACCAGCTGCAGCACGTTTCACACCTCAGAGCAGCCCAGAGTGGAATCCGAGTGCAGCATCAAAACAAGTGACGGAAGCTGGAGTGAGAGATGTTTTGTGCTGCAGACTTACAAGGCATGCGAGAATCCAAACATCCGCTCATACTTCCCAGGTAGGTGCAAGTATTATCTGTAAACGTTTACAAAAATTTAAAGAAACTGCACATTTTTCTTATAACTTCAGGAGAAAACCAAACTGCCCAGGATTTGTACCATTCAACCGAGGACAGTCACAGCTTGGGTCTGCCTTCTGCAGCTGGGAGCTCGGTGCCTGCACAGGGAGGGGCCACACTGCCGCTTCCGGCACTGCAGTCAGCATGGAGCAAAGACGTGACCTTACTCAGTCTACAGCAAGAGATGCGGGGTATTTGAGGGCCTTGAATCGCCCAAATATTATTGGAAAAAGGACTTCAAAGGATTAAAATTCTTCCACAAGCAAATGGAAAGCAGGACCTGAAACATTACGTACACTTGGAAAGGAAAGGAAATTATTCCAAAGTGGTAGTGAACATTTCACAAACTTTTAAAAACTTTAAATTCACTTTCAGTTTTGCAAGAGTCCCGTCCTTCCCACACGTGAAAATTGCCTGTTTTAATGTGCTGTGCATTTCGCGGTTTTCTGGTGCTTGGCTCTTTGAAAAGCTATGAGATTATAGTAATCTAAAGAGCTATAACGTTGAAATTAGGTGTGAGTTGTGTTTAATACGTACAGGTTTTCCTGCCCGAATCTTCCACAAACAGAGAAGAGATGTCTTCGTCCACGCCGGCCTCGTTCCTTGCGATGCAGGTGTAGGCTCCTGTGTCCTCGTAGCGCACATTGCTTATGTGAACCTCGCTGCCGTTGGCTGCAGAAAGCAGGCAGAGGCAACTGTAAGTGACAATTCAGCCTTGGTACAGTGCTTTCCGATCACACAGCTAAGCGGCTCTCAGCTTGTCCTAAGCAGACTGCTCCCCCTCCTCCTGTCCTCTGGAGGCGGCAGGCCCAGGCACTCAGGTGTCCTGCCCACTGGGCCTCCTGTCGTCCCCGAGAGCCAGGCAGCGGGACACAGGGCGCACTGCAGCGTGCTCTCTGCCTTTCCGCCTCCCACCTCACCAGGCGGCCTCACCTGGGGACAACTGGGAGCGGCGCGTTCACCTGTGTTCAGAATCCACTCTTTCCTAAGTTTTGACAGAAATCTGAAGAGCAAGTGGCGCTCACTTGTGCCGCGACATTGCCACAGACAGTGGCGCGACTTCCCCCACGCAGCTGCACCGCCCCTGTCCACCCAGGGTCTGGCTGAGCGCGCACCACGATCTGAGTGTGAGCGCAGGAGGGCTGGGAGGTTGGGACCCATAGTGGGTGAGTTTCAGTCTTGCCAGGAACTGGACTGAGCTAACCTAACCCAACCGCTTAGCTCAGCTAGGGACAGTGGGGACGCGGACAGCCCGCAGCAGCGTCCAGGGCCGCGGGGAGCGTAGTCGCAGCCTCACCCTGGTGAGACACAGGTCGCCTGAAAGCCCTGCGCCTGCTGCGGCCGCTCCGCTCGCTCAACCTCCCTTGCCCTCCTGTGCGTCCCGTGCTTCCTCCCAGGCCCTCAGGGCAGCACGAGCCCCGAGCCCCACGGCTGAGGAGGGCGCCAGAGGCAGGGCCGGGCCTGCCAGCGGCAGGAGAGGCAGGGAGGTTTGCGAGGACTGAGCTTCGGAATCACCCAAACTGCTCTCAGCGGACGAACGCCACTAAATGCCCGCTCAGTCCCAGTCTTGGTTTTTGCTTGGCTACAAAACACCAGAGACCAGGGTTTAGCTTTGGTGGGCTGCACCGTGGCCTCGGCGTTGACTCACCTCTGCCATGTCAGGGTTAAAGCAGCCACACAGGAAATATTTAAATGAATATTGCTGTGTGCTAAGCACAAGAATAACCACGAAAACAAACAAATGAAAAGACCTAGGACACGCAGCCTTTTATGTAAAAATATTTGTCTACTGTCTAGACATGATCTGTGAGCATGAATGTGCAGACCCCGGCTTTAAAATGCAGAATGAAGTTTATCAACCTCTAGTTTTGCACGGAATATGGTTTCCACCAAAGGTCGCACCATTTCTTTCAAAATCCACACACTTAACCTAAACTCCCTACAATTTTACTGATACTTCCAATCGATGTGTCCCCTTCAAACGCCGTCTGCTGATGCCTTTACGCTCTGCGCGCCTGCCTGGCCGTCGTCTCCCTCCTTCCCACGGTCTGCTGTCCCAAAGTGAGTCCCACCCTCTCCCGAGCTCCGGGCCCCTCTCGGGCATCACCTGACATGCTGCCCGGCTCCTCCTGCCAGCAGGGCCACACTGCATCCACACCTGCTTTCCCAGGGCCTGCTCTTGCGTAAGTCACAAGGGCATGGTACAGGCAAGTTTGCAAAATGTCACTTCTGCTTTTGTAGTCACAAGACAGTCAGTGCCACTTGGCATTCCTTCTACCTGGCCTGGACCATCAGACATTATTTCCTCATGCCCTGATCCACTGTTCCTTCTGGTCTTTGCTCTGTGTGCTGTTTCCCCTTGGAGCATCGAGGACCTCACTCTGAGCAGGGGGCTTTCCTTGGGAAAGCATGGGATAAAATAAATGATCAGAAAATAATCTCAGTGCTTCATGTTTCCAGCGTCACTGTTCTTTATTCTCAAGAAAGTTCCTTTTTTGTTTCAGGGCAAATCTCTCCTCCTTTTCACCATTTTCTAGGACACTTTCTGCATCCTTTCACCTCTGCTTTCTTTCTACTGATACTTCCTTCTGACAGATAAATTATCCTCAAAGAGCCTCCTTTTCAGTCCTAACCCTTCACACCAGCAGCTACTGACTGTTGCTTTTCAACCATTTCCTTCAAGTCCTCTTTGATAGGTCTCCCATTACCTCAGCAGCTATTATGTATAGTAGCTGCCCTCTTCCTATGGTGCCTTGCCCCTCCCCTGTGTGACATTATGCCAAGATGGTTGCTCCCACCAAAGAACAAACCCTTCTTCCCAGCATGCCCCTGTTCCTGCCTAGAGAGTAATCTAATACTCGCTCACCTCCTACCACCTAGTGACCTCATGGGCTCCTCCATTCCCTAGTCACTACCTCACTCAACCCCACCTCAGCCCCTACAAACCCCACCCCAGTCTCTATAAAAGACTCTCCCTGCCCCGGCCATATTGCTTTTTTCTCTCCTTTGTTCAGAGACAGCCCGGCAGATCTGTTCCCCTAATAAAGGCTTGTTGTGGCCTGATC